CCCTAACCCTAACCCTAACCCTAACCCTTTCCTCTCCCCTCCTCCTTAGTCACTGCTCTGCTTCCCTTCCCCTCCCCACTGGACTGTAATGCTAACTTTTCCCATTCCTTAGGGCAATCCAGTTCTTAGTGCTGCAGCTGCCTGAGTTCACTTTAGTTAGGGCTGCTTACCCACTGACACTTTAAAGGTCACACAGCAGGCGGCTTCCTGGTGCTGGGCTACTCTGGATATTTTAAAGGGCATGTGGTAGCCAAGCAGTCCTCCTTAATAGACTGTGTTGGGTGTTTTGTCAGGGAGCCAGCTGCTGTCTTTCCCATTTATTTGGAAGTGGGGGGAGAAAGCAGAGTACTGTGCAACTTCTGGTGGGTAAAGATGTGACAATGCAAAATTTGTCCCAGCACAATGAAGAAGTTGATGTTTGAATTTGTAACTTTTGTTGCAAATCCTTTGTTTGTGGGGTGGATTAGCTGTTATTTCTTAATCCATTTAACATCTTCATATTACTGTTTGTTGTGGGAAATAGACACATATTCTGCAACAGATTTAATGTCTGGAGTTGCCAAAAATAGTTGTTTTGAATCTGTGCTGCAATTGTGACCTTTTTAAAAAAAAAGTTTAAAAGAAAAACAGGTTTAAAAAAAAGTTTAGTACTTGATAATTAGACTTTATTAAACCCTACAGCAGGCTAATTTTCTATTTTAAAGCTAAATTCATTTCTAATTTTCACAAGGCGCAGATAACTATACAATATTTAATGTTTTTCCTGTTGAAAATATTTTATATGCCAAACGCATGTGTTCAGACTTTGCAAATTGTGATTCTGGTAGGAACCTGGCAGACAAGTTTGAGCAGTTGGCTAATTTTTTCATAAATTGTATGTACTTAGAATAAAAATCAGTGTTTAAATGGAAATGATGGTACAGTATTAATTCAGTTGTACAAATAACACATCTCTAAGTACTTCAATCACATGTCGATACATTTTTCTATATTCTTGTACAAGGAACCACATCCATTTTATTTGGTAAAGATGGTCATTTTGATAGAACTTTTGAGTAGAATGATTAATTTCCTTTGCTTTTGGAACTGGCTAGCAGAAAATGAAAGTAATGTAAACTTAATCAGATATTAACAAAACCCAAATGAGGTAGAAAAGAGTTCAGACCTGTTTTTAGGTCACTAGATATTCTGAACATAATGGCATCTTAATATGTACAAATAGAATTATTTAGCAATATCACTATTATCTCTAATATGTTTCTGATGGTTTGAAATATTTTCTTATGAATTATACTAGTTTTTTTTATCTGCTACTTTTAGCAACGGGTAATGACATGCTTCAGAGCATGGGAGGACTGGGCAATTTATCCAGAACCCTTTTTAATCAAACTGCAGAATATTTTCTTGGGGCTAGTAAATATCATAGAAGATAAAGAAACTGAGGTAAGTGGTTGGCTTAGTAAAAGTAACACAGTGATGATGATGCTTCTGTAGGGGAAACAACAACAACAAAAAGCAATAAGGATTATATTAGCATCCTTAGTTGGGTGTGTGTGACTGTTCATGACACAGGTAGTAATTTATGGATTTTGTCAAACCTGAGCTTTTGTCTAGGTATTCAGGTAGGAATTGAAAACTTTTTTCCACATATCCCATAAAAGACATGCACACAGTGGATGGCTATTCCTACCACCACTTGTCTTTTACTTTTTACTTACTATAATGCACAATACATGAAGTTTCATACAGCAACCATTTAGAAACTGAAGCTAGCATAGAATGTGACAGGTCACTTACTTTCTATTGGTTGTACCTTGTAATATTTGTCTGTGAATTTCCAGGTTGCATTTTAGGTGTTGCTTTTGATTTTTTTTTCACAGCCTAGAAAACTTGGGACTTTGTTACCTGAACCACCTTTTTGACTCCCAATGCCATGTGTTACTTGTAGAATTAATAAGTCATTTGAATTTTTTCAGTTGATATCAAAGTGAAGGAGTTGGTAAATCATTCTCGAAAATGAAGTTTGTTAAATTTCCAGGGTAGATGTGAAACATCTTTTTTTAACTTATTTTTGAGGAAGGCTTATGAAGGAATATGGATGTGTTATTTGAATGGGATGTACAAACTATTAAGGCATTATTTTGACATTGGGTAATTTCATATTAGAATTCCCAAAGCATAGGGAAGATGTTTGTTGATGTTTTTATATCTGATTTATATATCCCATATTAGGAAGGTCAACTCACAGTAAACAGGAAAGTGTTAGGAGCAGTTTCTACTTTGTAGCACTGCTAAGATATAGTATTGAAAAAGAGGTAAACAAATTACAGTATAAATGGAAGGTAAGTTTGTTTCCACTCAGCAGTAAAAAAACCCAAGAAAACATACAAGCCTGAAGAAAATGTGCATGCCTATTATATTAGAAAAGTTATTTACCAGCTGTTCATTTTGTGTGTTAATACCAGGAATGGTATTAACATTTGCCAGCTCCTGGAATTAAAAAAACTCCTATGGAATTTTTCAGTGTCTGTTAGGTATACATCAAGTTTTGCTTCTGAATTCATGCAAGTGGCTCACTTTGAAGCAGTGTGGGATTTGTATGTTCCATTTTTTTGTATAATCAATCTCTTAAAACTCCAAATAACTTGTTGAGAAATTACAGGCTATTGCTTATAATTGTTGTGTAAAAGAAAATGTGGCAATTTCTTCCACTGAAAATTATGTAAGGAGCAAAAATCAAGCTGGAATGCTGCCCTGACTTTTGTATGGTTGGGACTGTTTTGTTTTGTATTTCAAAGGTTTGACACTCTTCTATCTATTTAAAGCAAACAGATTTGTTTTATGAAGTGAAGTTTTTAGAAGAGAAATTAAAGAAAATAACCTAGCACACTTGCTGAAGGGATTTCAGGTTTTATTTCGTCTCCAGGAAGTACCAGATGATCTTGATGGTGCCCCCATTGAGGAAGAGCTTGATGGTGCACCATTGGAAGATGTAGATGGAATTCCTATTGATGCTGCTCCCATTGATGATCTTGATGGTATCCCTATTAAATCCCTTGATGATGACCTTGATGGTGTACCTTGTAAGAAATGGTTTAGTTTTGATTTTGGAATTCTTTAAGTTTCCTAATGTAATGCACAGGAAATATATCTATATTGCTAACTTTAGTGATCACAAGAGTTGTTTTTGGAATAGCAGGAAGAAGACAACATTAAGCAAGATAGATGGAAACTAGAATTAATCAATAATTATGCAAAGTACAAGAATGAATTTAGAATATAATTCTGATTGTAATGTCTTGGGGGACAAGGGCAATGTCTTTTTCTGCATTTACCTACTATAGTTGGGCCATGGCTTTTGTCTCTTTTGTACCAGCAGTACAAACAGCAAGAGCACAAGCCTTTAATTTTTGATTACCCTGCAAGTTCCCTAATATAAGTAAGAATTAAAAACTTACTGGAGAATTTTCAACAATGATTTTTCTTAATGTTTTTTCCCTCAACAGTGGATACTTCTGAAGATTCTAAAAAAAATGAGCCCATATTTAAGGTTGCCCCTTCAAAATGGGAAGCAGTGGATGAATCGGAATTAGAAGCTCAAGGTTAGTTTGAAGTAATACCTTAGTTTTAAAGACACTTACTTAAATAAACTGGAATTGTGATGTTTTCCTTTTTTGTGAGTTTAGTCACTTTCTTCACAGAGGGCATGTTTACATGAGGCACTACCACAGAGTGGTTAATTTGCAGTGGTGCCAGCGAACATCTTTTTAGTGACACTACTGTGCAGCAGCCTAATAGTGCTGCACAGTAGCATATTATCACTGCCTGTGCTGTGACACATTACTGTGCAGTTTTATTGGACTACTGCACAGTCACTCATGTAGACACGCCCAGATATTTCTAAATAAACCATCTAAATCTGTCACATGGCTAGGTTAGTGCAGCCTATCTGAATAAGATATATGGTAGTGTCCATTGCAGTGTCTCCCTCAGTACTGACTCTTTTTTCAAGTCATGGTGAGCCACTATTTTGATACATTTCAACTTCCTCTTGACTCCCACAGCAAAGTTATGTGCCTTTCTTCCCTGTTTCCAATGATTCCTGTTTCTTCACTAGTGTTAAATGTCCAGCAGACATCACCAAACAAGGTTGCAAACAGTTCAACCAGAATTCCTCTGTTGCCCCCTCTCTTACCCTGTTACCTGTGATTAGCGTGGCCCCACACTTTAGATTGTTCCAATGGAACCAGACCAGATTGTCCTGCAGCTCATCTGCATGTAAATTATTGGAGGGTCTCTGGACTTATGACAAGAACACCTGGTTCCAGTCATGAGTTGAGGGCCAATTAGAACATGAATCCTTTGTTGAAGGGTATCTGGAGTGTACACACACACTGAGCAGCACTGAGCTATAGCGTCACTGGCTTGAAACTCTGTTGGGGCCTAGCCTGATTTAAGTATATGGTAAAAAATGAGCCTTTTGGCTTTGGACTAATATCATGCATAGTTTGTACTCTATATAAGGAGGTACAAAGGTGCTGCTTAAAAATATGTTTGTGGACTAAAGCTTGCAACAATTGGAAAAAAAAAAGATAAAACGTTTCAGTTCATCCATCAGTGTTCTCAAATTTGCTTCTCGTTTCCATATGCTCAATGAGAGCAGAAGTGGGGAAGGAGCTGCAGGGGAAAAAAGTTGGGGCGGCTGAGGGCAAAGGGGCCACTTGGTCCTCCCCTCCCCCAGATTTTTTTTTCCTTGCTGTAGTGGGACAAAATCAAGGCAGACCTCTACTAATTGGATCTTATACCTGGAAAATTGTAACAAATGTATATATTTTCCATACATAGTATCTAATTATTGGGGGGTAATCCTATCTTCTGGGTTGCTTATATCCAAGTAGGTATGGTAATT